GAAAGAGCAATACACTGGAAAAAATACAGCTGAGGAAATCAGAAAATAATCACAGCAGAGCTCAATGGTGACAGCCTCTAAACCTGAGATCTGCTTTCTGTGTCAGTGACTTGATTCAAGACTTGCTCTCTGATATGGACATTGCTACCAGTCCAATTACCAGCATTAAAGGAGTGGAGCTGCTAACAAGTTACCGATGTTGAAAGAAGCCTTCCAGTGCTTTGCAGATGGTATAGCGCTCAGGTGGTGTGAGCAGATGTTCCAGCTGCTGGTTGAAGGTCCTTCCTTGAATCTTGATGCTAGAGGGAAGTATCTCTGCAACCCATTGCAGGGAGGTGAGAGCGGAGGAGGTGTTCGGGGAGTCAGCAGAGTCAGAGTCTGCAAGGTGCAGGTAGAAAGAAAAAAGAAAATTCAACAGACAAAGGGTCTTAACCACAGGTTAAAAAGGTTTGCACTGAAACCAAGATCCATCCCTGGGGAGCACCAGGGCAGCTGCACCTGAGTATGAAGGGGAAGGATTTGTTTAGTGACCTAGGAATGGCCCTGTCTCTTGGGGAGGAGCAAGAAGAATGTAAGGCCTGGGTAGCAGCCCCCAGCTGTGCTGCAGGAAGTGCCTTCTCCTGGGTTGACGTGTGCCACCCTGGCTAAAGGGGCCCAAGCAACAATGCAATTAAAACAAACTAGGGGAAGAGCTGTATTGCTGTAAATCTGCACCTGACAGTCCTTGAAATCTCCTCTCTGCTTCTGGCTTCACCTCTAAACATGAGCAGTTAGACCCCGCTGGCCCCTTGGACTGGGCTGCCCTCAGCTTCATGGGGAGCCTTGTCTGAGCAGCTGTTTCTGCCTGATACTTGTGTCCCTAGTCCCTGTCCATCTGCAGCCTGAACTGCTCTCACATTGCTGGGCTCCACCTTCCTGGTTTTACCAGCTTAAACGCCTCTGATAAGGGAGACCTCTGAGCACATGAATCTCAACTCTAAAGTAATACAAATCCTGATGCACTGATATGTACGTCATTGCCTCAGAATAAACAGATTTCTGTCACTGAAAAGCAACATGGTGAAGAAGGTGAAACAGCTTATCAACAGCTGCCTGACAGCCAGAGGAGGTCCTGGCCAGCACAAAGCTAATGCCTGCCCTTGCCTTCCTCCCATGGTGTGAACTGAAGGAAACAGAATATGCTGCAGTGGGTCTTGTGGATGTTTCAATAGGCCCATGAATCTACAGAAAACAGGCAAAGATTTTTTTAAACCTGTCTACTGGATATAATCTGTCTCTTCAGTCATGCTGCTTCTACATTTTTTTGTAAGCACATGCAGATGGTATTCCTTCTTTTGTTCTCTGAAGCCTTTGGTCAAGTTTCAAAGCAACTGACAATAATCATTGACTTTAAGAGCAGTATCAGTCAAGAGTTACATGTGGGTAAACTGAGGCATAAAAGGTCAGCTTGCTTTGCCACCCTCATCCTGCACATCCTCATCCTCTGCCACAGTTTGGCTGCCTCTGTAGTGAGCCCAGCCCAGGAATGGCACAGTGATACTGCACTGCAGCAAGAGCCAGAAGAGGCAACCCAGCCGAGTCTGCAGGGACATCAAATGCGCTTATCCATGTAGGAAGATGGCCAAGGCATCAGGGCTAGAAATCATATCCTTTCTTGGTTTCTTTTTTTGGAGGGAGAGTGCTTTGGGTGTCACTAGATCTCTACTGACAAATAGTGAGACTCTTGGTTTTGTTTCTAAGACACAGGCAAATAAGTTAGTAATGCAGGGCTCCTAACCTGAAGCTTTGAAGGGAGCTCCTTTACTGCTCCAGAGGGAAGACTGCCAGTCTAACTGCTGGCCGATGTGTTACACAGCAGCTTTGCAGTAACACAGTGGGCCCCCTGTCCTTACGCAGCTTAGGAATCACAGTGACTGAGCTCCCCTTGGCTGCAGTCCTGCATCACCACTGAAGCCACTGAAATCACACTGATCAACGCTCGCAGTGCCCCAGACATCCTGATCTCTCACTGACTTGCTCACCATAAGTATGCAAGCTAAATTATTCATAAAAGCAGCAGTTATACTGAACAGCACAGTCCATACATAACTGCAGTATTTGCCCAGGGACCATGTATGCACAGGGCTATATTACTTTCAAGTACACAGCACAGACTGTACGTAAAGGACAGTGTAAAGGGCCAGCAAGGACAGGCATACAGTACAACGAACCCTTCTGGAAAGCAGCCAAGTCTGAGATTAAGCTTGATCGCAGAAAGCCTGCAGCCACATGCTCAGGCTACTGAAGAAGACTGTTCAGCCCCTTGGGGAAGGAACAACCCCTCCAGGTAATTTGGGGTGGCGTTAGGCTCAAAGCAGTGTTGTTAAACGTGCTGGGTATACGTGAAATACTTGGCGACTTCCTCCAGCAGGGTTAGCAGAGCAAAAGGGCAGTGATTTCCCCCAACACACTGGGAATCAGGAGTGAACGCTGAGTTTCTGTAAATCCACTCCCGTCTCCTCCCTGGCACTCTTACCATTTGAGAAGCTGACAATCCCTTCTTCCACCACCAAGGTAGGCATCGCCCCGCTGCCCTGCAGCATCGACACCACCTTGTCATGGGAGCAGTTCCTGCAGGGGCATAGGAGAGAGCCCAAATAAGACATCCTTCCGGGCCATGATCCCCACGCAGGCAGCTTTGCAGGAAGCAGCTTGCAAGGCAACAGTGGTGCTGGTTGGTAGTAATGCCCCTCCCTGGGCTTTGGTGAGGAACCGCATGTGGGTGGGAGTGATTCCATGGACAACATTGCCTCAGATGGCTCCAGGTTGCTGCAAGGAGCCAGAGTAAAATGGTGTTGGCAGCTGCCTTCATTTATCTTACAAAAGTCCTCTTCTGACTGCTCATATGGAGGCAGAGTTGTGCCAGGGCTGCAGTCTCCTTGAACTCTGGCTCTTTGCTTGGTTTTATCTGTGATGTTCAGAGAAGAGCTTTACTCAAGGGACAGTGTGAATCACACCGTGTAACTTGGGGCTCTCAGTTGTACCTGCAGTATGGAATAACTTTAGGGCGTGAATATGAACACTCCGTGGAGCTGTTATGGTAAATGATGCCAGCATTACTTTAAGCTACACTCAGACTCCATAGCTGAACTTTCCATTTAAATTATAGTGCTGTGGATCTTTGTTTACCTGTCCTAATTCTGCATGAAAAGAAAATGCAAGTTGGAACTAAAATGCATTTTTGGAGATAGGCCAGTCTCCTTGGAGGAAGGTACAAGCTGACCTGGGACAATGCCTGCCAAAACGCAGGCTCAGAGGATAATCTTCAAATAGGTCTCCTCTATTTTCTGGTGATGCTGCATCAGCCAAGAGTTTGCTGTATCAGCTGAAATCTGAGAACCTGGGCAGTGACAGAAAAAGCATCAGATGTGTAACCTTTAAATATTCATCATTCTGTCTTATCATGTAGCCAGTTCTACCCTTTGCTCTTGTTTTTCGTGCAGAAGGACCAACCTGAGAAAACAGGGCTGCTGCCACTGTATCAGTGAGTTGCAGAGTAAGCTCTGGTTTGGTAGAATTTGATTGTTTTTGTTGTGTGCAAATAATGTAGGAGAGAATTAACTTCTAGGTGGAAATGTGATTGCCCGTGTGATTTTAAGCTTAGGATACCATTCCAGGAATGATCCATGGGTTGGCTGGTACTCTGTTCCTTTCACAGAAGAGCCCCAGCTATTTAACACACAAACTTAATTCACAGTGGCTTGAATCAGGGACTCCAGGTGGATTACAGTCAGTATACCCATTATATTATGTCATGCATTATACATGGCTATTTGCACTCTTAAGTAAAGGGAGGGAAAGGAAGAGCAGGGATGGAGGCTGAAATACTACTCTTAGAGCAGTTTTACAGAGAATATTAAAGGAGAGGTCTGTACGGGACAAAAGCCCTCATGCACCTCATGCTCCCAAGGACATCCAACTCTCATGTCTTTTACTCAAGAGGGAACAAATGAACACAACTATGCTTGGCCACTTAACACTCTCTAGGACCCCCCATGAGCCATCTGGCACAGGTCATTTAGAGACTCTCTTACCTCATGTCCAGACCATTGAGAAATAAGATTCGATCTCCAGCTTTGAGAGCAGCCTTCTCAGCTGGGCTTCCTAATACACAGGGAATGAGAGAGGCGCTTTAGCTAATGGGTCCCTTGTTTTCGGTGGTGGGATCTCAAGTCTCCAGCCACTTTGGAGACCAGTAAAGCCAGTGTCCAGTGTCTGTGTGTCGGTGGCTCAGCAGGTGCAACATGGATCAGTATCTGGCTAGTTTACGTTTCAAAAGCAGAGGTGATTTCAAACTATTCACTAAACACAGGCACTAAACACCTTTTAAACATGAGATAGGGAGTGCACAAAGCCAAACTAAATTGTGCTGAAGATACTAATTATTCAAATCAGGAAACTCCATCACTGAGGTTCATAAAAGTCCATTTTGCTATTTTCCAGCAAACAGCAAACACTCAAAATCTAGAGTTCAGCCTATAGATACATAAGTATCTTTGAATCTTATGACTGTGCTCTCAAATAGAAATGTCATCCCCAGTGTGCAAATTTAATTTCTCTGTGTTAACTAAAAGTGACCTTTGAGATCTTGTCCAAGCAGAGGCAACCCCTTCCTTCAGCGTGGGACCTGCCGAAAAGGGACTAAGCTCTAAGAAACGCTCCTCCCAAGGGAGTCACAAGAGTGTCCTGGACTCTGTGTCACAGTGTGGGTACACGGCACCGCTGTGCATGGGGAAGATGCTCTGTGGGAAGAGGAGTTTCCCCAGGAGAGACACCACAGGCTGGGCCCCAGCTGCCCCCGGCCCCGTGGGCTCTGGCAGGGTCAGTGCCTGCAGAGTTTGTGCTCTAAGTCTGGTCAGAGCAACTGGGCAAAGTCTAGTCTCATCATGTAATGGCAGATTTTCTTACCTGGCAGAATGGACTCAATCCACACTGGGGCATGTCCACGTAATGTGAAGCCAAAGCTTTTGTTGCCTTTATAAACTCGCACAGTTCTGCAGGTACAAAAGCAAACATGAAATCAAAATCCAACAAATATTTGGTTTTTGTTCCCTTCCCTCGCCTTCATCACAGCCCCATTAGCCTGGATATCGTTAGAGTGCCCACTAAACCCTTGATAATCCCTGGAACCCCTTGATACTTGACTGAAGCGTCCTTCAAATGGGTTCTCCCATGTTGAGCCCCTGAGCTTGCCCCACCTGCAGGGAGATGGTGTCTGCAGAGGAAGGTGTGGACAAGTTTGGTGTGGCCTTGCTGGCAGGCTGTCTGGCGCACAGCTCTGAGCAGCAGAAAATGTTGAGTGCCACTGGTTTAGCCTCACAGAGACCACCAGTCCCTGGGTGGGGAACAGGCCAGCCGAGCTCTTGCTGATGCCTGCAGGAGTGCTAGCACTTCCTGAACTCTTCCCCATCCTGATAGGTACAACGGTCTTTACAAAGCAGCAATGCCACCATACTCTTGTGCTTTCCCCACTGACGCCTTCCTTCTGCCAATGGACTGACAAGGGGCAGTGCGTTGGTGGACGGAGAGAGCAGGGAGCTCTCCTGTTCCTTGTTTGGGCCCCCTTCCTGGAGCACCTCCAGCTCCCCAGCCACCGGTGCTGCTCTCCTGCCCCACAGCTGGGCTTCAGTGTGGTTCCCTGTCTCTCCAGCACCAACAACATCTGCCCTCTGCAGCCCACCGGTGCCCTGGGGGCAGAGACAAAGTCCAGAACACTGAACTGGCACACGGCGATGGGAAGTGGACAGATCTGAAAGGGCCCAGGGGATGTTTGAAATGGTCCAGACAAAGCCTCTGTGAGGCCTGGAGGAACCCTGATGCTGCCAGGGCAAGCTGAGGGCTAGCAGGGTGCTCCTTGCCTGACGGGCATGATGTGCTGTCCCCCTCGGCTGGGGTGCCGCTGCAGTTCACGTTAGGACTGGCACAGCAGAGCTAAATTTTGCAAACTAAAGCTTAACGTGCATTAACATGAAAGCTCTAGTATTGGGCAGATGGGGGACCCTGGAGACAGAAAGAGACATGGATATTTTAGGGGCAGAGCCTTTGAGCACTGACTCTTGCACGGCTTTGGAAATTGCTTTTCTAAGCAATTAATTAATGAATTCATAAAACCACATTCCAGTCCTTCAAATCCAATATGTTTTAAAGTGAAGACATGTGATATAACATTTATTATACAGACAGACTAATAACAAAAATACATGTTTTAGTGGGGGAAGATTTACTAGGCTGATGAGAGAGAAATTAAATTCAGCTAGCAAATTTTGGAAAGGAGTATTAGGAAATCTTCCTGCCGGGAGACTGATTGGAGTGGGGAGTTGGTCCCCACAGGGAACTGGGGGAATTTACCATCACTGAGACCATTTACAACAAGAAAGCCTGTTGTAGGGACCAATCCTGTGCCGGCACAGAGAGAGACTGGGTTGAAACTGAATGTTGGATAAGTCACGGCAAAAAATTATTCAATCTATGCCATGAGAGACAGCAGTGATCCTCAGAGGAAGCTGTGCTCTAACTGAACACCCCTGGAGAGAGCAGATGGAGGCAGGGAATAACCCATGCTGTGTCTGTGGTGGCCCAGTCCCTCCCTGGAGGATTCCCCAGCTGTGTGGACAAGCCAAAAGCTTGTCTATTTGTTTGAGAGATGGGGCTGGGAACGGTGCGGGAGCCCTGCTAATCGCGGAGAGCGCGGCAGGGCTCCGCGGCTTTCCAGGGCTGCTGAGGTCTGGCCACATGGGCAGAGGGAAATGGGTTAATCCCCCAGGCACCAGATTGTCCTGCCTTCCCCCCGCTGCTGTGGCCTCGTACCCAGACACCCGCTGAGGCAGTGCAGGCTGGGGCGGCCTGTCCCGTGCCTGAGCGCCCTGCAGCCCCCAGCCCGGCCCGCTGTCCTGCATCCCCCCAGCACCCTGCATCCCCCAGCATGGCTGTGTGCCCTAAATTGCCCGGCACAGCCGGGCACCCCTCTCAGGATATCTGCTCACAGCCAGTAGCCTGTGAGCGCTGGCTCTGCCCCACATGCAGCTCCTCACAGCCAGCTTTACAACAGCGAGGGCCAGAAAGGGCCGCCTGCATCTGGGACATTGGGTCCAAACTGGCCCAGCCTTCAAGAGGGAGAAGTCTTTGCTCATCTTCCCCCCAAAAGGATTCCACCCGTTTTCACACCGAAGACACCCCCTTTGCTAGTGTCTCTCCCCTTTCCCTGGCATCTCTCCCCCTGCTGCCATCCAACCGTGCAGACCAGACCCTGTCACCTTGAATTTGAGGGCTTCCAGGAGAGGCGTTACCTGCGGGCAGCCCCCGAGGCCACATTGCTGGTGATCAAGGAAGTGGTTTTCCTCAGGCTCTTGCTGGCCTCCTCGTGGCTGCGGGGCACAGAGCTGGCCCGGGTGGACACGAGGAGCCGCTCCTGGTGGTCCTCGCTACGGCTGCGCCGCAGCCGGTTGCTGTGCTGCTCGCTCTTGGAGCGGCACAGTTTGCTGATCAGGCTCTGTGACACGACCTCGTCAAACCGCTGCCGGTGCTTCTTGGGGATGAAAATCCTGGCAAACATGACAAGGGAGGCAAATGAGAAGCGAGGCCAACGTGGCCGTGGCCCTGCAGCTCCGGATCCAGCAGTACCTGGGAAAGCAAAGGTCAAAGCGGCCTCCAGCCCTTCTCGCGCATTCTCAGCCTCAGTCCTCCCCGGAGCTGCGAGCACCGGGCCATGGGGCCGCGCACACCAGGGATGCCTGTCTCATCTCCCGGTCCCGTGGCAGAGTGCTGCCCCATCCTCCTTGCAGCTCTGTCGGAGCAAGGAGGGTCTGATGCCCCCCGCAGCGGCACTCGGGGCAGCGAGGAAGAGCCGAGCGGCATGCTCCAGCAGAGACCGATTCAAACAGCTCCGTTCCTCCTCGCCGTGCGTCCCATCCGGGACCCCTTCAGCTGCCAGTCCCGGTACGCTAACGACAAGTTCCAGCTTGAGTCCCAGATTAATTATTTCCCCCCGTGGATAGCTGTGCAGGCAGTGGGGACTGCAGGGGGAAGACCCCTGCTGCCATGGAGCCTCTTCTGCTGCAAACCCGCTGGGTTCAGTCCTTCGAGCTCTCCCAGCTCAAACCACCAGTTCGCCACAGCACAGGGGAGCCGACGCGCTCCTTGCTGCTGCGAAGGGCTGTGACTCTGAAGCAAGGCTCAGAGAAGAAGGGATTTTTAAAGTTGATGACGGCATTTGATTGTGACTACGTTCTGACAGCAAAAGCAGCATGAGATCATTTCCCTTCCTCCAGGCGTTCTCCATGTTCCTGATGTTCAGGGGTACGAATGCCCCCACGCCTACGCCCGCCACGTGCTGACGGTGCCAAACCGCCTCCTCCAGACCCGGCTTCTGCACCGGGACAGTCTGGGGACCCAAAATGCTGCTCCCCACTTCCTCCCCCAGCCCCTCTGCTAAGAGCCCTGTCCCCACCCCAGCGCTCAACTCCGGGATGACAGCCTTGACTTTTGCCAACCTCCAACTCTTGCCATAATGAGGCGAGAGAAACGCACTGTTTCATGGTCCCCTGAGTCTCCCTCTGGGAGACACTAAGGCCGTGGTGACGAGGACGAGGACGGTAACACTGCACATGAGGACAGATCACCAGGAACTTGCTCCATTTGAAGTCACTTCCCCTCTGCCCCATCAGAAGCAGCTCTGCCAAGGAACCAAGCAGTGTTCACCTGCCCTTCGAAACCTCATGGGATACAGAGACAGGGCAAAGCAATTTCCTAGGACAGGGCAATTGATTCATCATTGGTCCGTCCTATGGGATCCTGCTGCATGGACGGCAGGTTCATGGCGCTGCAGAAATGCAGCTGTCTCTGCTTGGAGGCAGCAAACAGTCTGCTGCGGACGCCAGGGAAAGACACAGGCCCAGCCTTGAGGTGCAGACGAGCCCCCCTGGAGCTTTAGCGTCCCTTCAACCAAGCCCGCTCCTGCCGTTACACCCTGCCCAACCCATGATCACAAAGATTTATCCTTCTTGGCCTTTGGCCATCCCCGGTCTCAGAGCAGCAGGTTGTGCCCTGACGTCCCCCTGGTGCCCCAGCCAGCTGGGTGACATCCAAAGCACCCCAGGGAGCCTGGCACGCGGGCTTGTCCACCGCAGTGGGCTTCCCTGGGGCCTTTGGCAGAAAGGTGGACTCCCTGGGGATCAGCTCTGTCTCATCGGACGCTTGCCCAGGGCCACCAGTTATCCCCCTTAGGAGCACGTCTCTTGCTGGGATATGGATATACAGAAAGACCTCTGCACAGGCCGGAAGGGGCCAGATTTACTCGCTCAGAGTCCTCCACAGAAAAAAGAACGTTTCCTGCTGGGGCCCGTGAGGAAAGCGCGTCGCACAAACGCAGGTCTTACACTGCTTTCTTCTGCGTTTGCTCCTGTTGGCCCCTCTCTGGCAGTTTATTCAAGGTGAATCAGCGATGCCAGGCAGCTGCTGAGCTGTCCCCGTGGAGCGCGGCCCGGCCGGGCGGCGGGCAGCCCGGGGCTGCGCTGCCCTGCGCCAGCCCCGCGCGTGCGGTGTGCAGCGTGCAGCGTGCGGTGCTCCCGGTCTCACCTTCCCCGCTCGGACCGGCAGGTTTCACTCCCCAGATGCCAACCCGCATCCCAGGCGTGCTGTAACCTGGGGAGATGCCCTTCCTTCTCTTTCTTTTCTTTTCCTTCTGCCATGTGAACAGTGAAATACTGACACCCCGTTCACCTATTCCTACCCCTTCCGTTTGCACGTTTGGGGCTTCCTGAGAAACCGTTACCTTGCAGTAACGCTATAGCAACAGTCCTCAGCAGCACAGCTGCATCTGCTCATTACACATGCCGTCTTGTGAGGCTCGCTACTGCTCTTCACCTCGCTGCTCATGGAAAACTCCATACATTAAGACAAATTCCGACGCTTGCCGAGGAGGAGGGACACAAGCGTCACTTCCAAACCGGCCGGCGGTCGCATTTCCCAGTTAGTGCTGGCGTTAACTGGGCCCAGCTCAGAGCTGGCTCCAGAGGGCCCAGTGCAACTGGCTCCAAGGAGCTGCGCCTTGCTCCTGGGAAGCACGAGGCGGCTCTGACGAAGGCCAGCTGCTAACGAGGCATGACCGGAGAGGCCGGGACTGTGCGCTGAGGCCATTTCCTAGCGCAGAGCCATTGCTCCTGGCCGGCTGCCTGCGGAGCCACCAGCAGCAGGCGAACGG